AAAAAAAATTTAGGGAGGGGGGGGGTTTTAATCATAGGAAAGGGGGGGGGTTTTAAAATAAAAAGGGGGGGAAAACGGAGGGGTATTTAACATAAGGGGGTTTAAAAGGAGGGAGGGGTATTTAATCATAGGGGGGAGGGGTATTTAAACCCTAGAAAAGGGGGGGTTTTAAAATCATAGGAGGGGGGGGTTTTTACATAGGTAGGGGGGGGGATTTAATCATGGGTAGGGAGGGGGGATTAATCATAGGGGGGGGCCCGGACGGGGGGTATTATTGGTAGAGGGGGGTATTTAATATATAGGGGAGGGGTATTAATCATGGGTAGGGAGGGGGAAACAATGGGGGGTATTTAATCATAGGTAGCGGAGGGGTATTTAATCATAGGTAGGAGGGTATTTAATCATAGGTAGAGGAGGGGTATTTAATCATAGGTAGAGGAGGGGTATTTATCATAGGTAGAGGAGGGGTATTTAATCATAGTAGAGGAGGGTATTTAATCATAGGTAGAGGAGGGGTATTTAATCATAGGTAGAGGAGGGGTATTTAATCATAGGTAGAGGAGGGGTATTTAATCATAGGTAGGGGAGGGGTATTTAATCATAGGTAGAGGAGGGGTATTTATCATAGTAGAGAGGGGTTTAATCATAGGTAAGGAGGGGTAGGGGTTTAATCATAGGTAAGGAGGGGTATTTAATCATAGGTAGCGGAGGGGTATTAATCATAGGTAGCGGAGGGGTATTTAATCATGAGGTTAGCGGAGGGGGTATTTAATCATAGTAGGGGAGGGTTATTTAATCATAGGTAGAGGAGGGGTATTTAATCATAGGTAGAGGAGGGGTATTTAATCATAGGTAGCGGAGGGCGGGGTATTTAATCATAGGTAGAGGAGGGGTATTTATCATAGGTAGAGGAGGGGTATTTAATCATAGTAGAGGGAGGGGTATTAATCATAGTAGAGGAGGGGTATTTAATCATGGTAGAGGAGGGGTATTTAAATACATAGGTAGAGGAGAGGTATTAATCATAGGTAGCGGAGGGTGGTATTTAATCATAGGTAGAGGAGGGGTATTTAATCATAGGTAGAGGAGGGGTATTTAATCATAGGTAGAGGAGGGGTATTTAATCATAGGTAGCGGAGGGGTATTTAATCATAGGTAGAGGAGGGGTATTTAATCATAGGTAGAGGAGGGGTATTTAATCATAGGTAGAGGGGTATTTAATCATAGGTAGAGGAGGGGTATTTAATCATAGGTAGAGGAGGGGTATTTAATCATAGGTAGAGGAGAGGTATTTAATCATAGGTAGAGGAGGGGTATTTAATCATAGGTAGAGGAGGGGTATTTAATCATAGGTAGAGGAGGGGTATTTAATCATAGGTAGAGGAGGGGTATTTAATCATAGGTAGAGGAGGGGTATTTAATCATAGGTAGCGGAGGGCAGTGTCTACTATAGATGTTAGACTACTGTTCACCATATATTTAATATTTACAAACACATATTGACAGAGTTAAATAAAAGTGTGAAAGAATTGAGGATATTTTATGCTGAAACCCTCATATTCAACAGCAACAGTATTCACTAAGTTGATGGGTTATATTTAGGAAAATGTGTTACAGCTTTGTCATTCTATTTTGTATATTAAAATCATCTTAATGTATTATTTTATATAATTGACATGGTAATGGTAATAAACCCTAAGTGCGCCATATCGGGGACAGGGATATGTGCCCTGGTCAAAAGTAGTGCACTATATAGGACCCTCAAATTCAAATCTGGACCTCGAAGACACGTCCACTGCTTTTTTTCCATTCTTCCCCTCTAATCAGGGACTAATTTAGACCTGGGACACCAGGTGGGTGCATTTAATTATCAGGTAGAACAGGAAACCAGCAGTAGTCTAAGACCTCGTAGGGTAAGATTAGAATATTCCTGATATCGGGAATAGGGGGCCATTTGGGACGCTGCCTGCAGTGGAACTGGACAGGATGGGTCTGGTTCCTACCTTCATGGGAACCTTGCAGCCGTCGCTGCCGCCCCGTCCAAGCTTGCCATAGTCTCCATCGCCCCAGGACCATACCATGTCATCGTCAGTCAGACAGAGAGTCTGGGCATCACCACTACCACACGCCATATCTATCACCCTGTGGCCCTGCAGAGCATCCACCTGGAGAGAGACCCACACAGAGAGGCAGAGATACACTCAGCATCAGGACATCATTTGTGTGTGTGAGTTAGAGAGTGAGAGAAAGAAGTTTCGAGAAGGGAAGTTGAGAGAAGAGAAGTTGAGAGAAGGGAAGTTGAGAGAAGAGAAAAGTTGAGAGAAGGGAAGTTGAGAGAAACGTTGAGAGAAGAGAAGTTTCGAGAAGGGAAGTTGAGAGAAGAGAAGAAGTTGAGAGAAGGGAAGTTGAGAGAAGGGAAGTTGAGAGAAGGGAAGTTGAGAGAAGAGAAGAAGTTGAGAGAAGGGAAGTTGAGAGAAGGGAAGTTGAGAGAAGGGAAGTTGAGAGAAGAGAAAAGTTGAGAGAAACGTTGAGAGAAGAGAAGTTTCGAGAAGGGAAGTTGAGAGAAGAGAAGAAGTTGAGAGAAGGGAAGTTGAGAGAAGGGAAGTTGAGAGAAGGGAAGTTGAGAGAAGAGAAAAGTTGAGAGAAGAGAAGTTGAGAGAAGAAGTTGAGAGAAGGGAAGTTGAGAGAAGAGAAGTTGAGAAAAGGGAAGTTGAGAGAAGGGAAGTTGAGAGAAGAGAAACGTTGAGAGAAGAGAAGTTGAGAGAAGGGAAGTTGAGAGAAGAGAAGAAGTTGAGAGAAGGGAAGTTGAGAGAAGGGAAGTTGAGAGAAGGGAAGTTGAGAGAAGGGAAGTTGAGAGAAGAGAAAAGTTGAGAGAAGAGAAGTTGAGAAGAAGAAGTTGAGAGAAGGGAAGTTGAGAGAAGAGAAAAGTTGAGAGAAGAGAAGTTGAGAGAAGAAGTTGAGAGAAGGGAAGTTGAGAGAAGAAGTTGAGAGAAGGGAAGTTGAGAGAAGGGAAGTTGAGAGAAGAGAAGTTGAGAGAAGAGAAGTTGAGAGAAGAGAAGTTGAGAAAAGGGAAGTTGAGAGAAGGGAAGTTGAGAGAAGAGAAACGTTGAGAGAAGAGAAGTTGAGAGAAGGGAAGTTGAGAGAAGAGAAGAAGTTGAGAGAAGGGAAGTTGAGAGAAGGGAAGTTGAGAGAAGGGAAGTTGAGAGAAGAGAAAAGTTGAGAGAAGAGAAGTTGAGAGAAGAAGTTGAGAGAAGGGAAGTTGAGAGAAGGGAAGTTGAGAGAAGAGAAGTTGAGAGAAGAGAAGTTGAGAGAAGAGAAGTTGAGAGAAGGGAAGTTGAGAGAAGGGAAGTTGAGAGAAGGGAAGTTGAGAGAAGCGAAGTTGAGAGAAGCGAAGTTGAGAGAAGCGAAGTTGAGAGAAGCGAAGTTGAGAGAAGAGAAAAGTTGAGAGAAGAGAAGTTGAGAGAAGAAGTTGAGAGAAGGGAAGTTGAGAGAAGAAGTTGAGAGAAGGGAAGTTGAGAGAAGGGAAGTTGAGAGAAGAGAAGTTGAGAGAAGAGAAGTTGAGAGAAGAGAAGTTGAGAAAAGGGAAGTTGAGAGAAGGGAAGTTGAGAGAAGAGAAACGTTGAGAGAAGAGAAGTTGAGAGAAGGGAAGTTGAGAGAAGAGAAGTTGAGAGAAGGGAAGTTGAGAGAAGGGAAGTTGAGAGAAGAGAAAAGTTGAGAGAAGAGAAGTTGAGAGAAGAAGTTGAGAGAAGGGAAGTTGAGAGAAGAAGTTTCGAGAAGGGAAGTTGAGAGAAGAGAAGTTGAGAGAAGGGAAGTTGAGAGAAGAGAAAAGTTGAGAGAAGGGAAGTTGAGAGAAACGTTGAGAGAAGAGAAGTTTCGAGAAGGGAAGTTGAGAGAAGAGAAGAAGTTGAGAGAAGGGAAGTTGAGAGAAGGGAAGTTGAGAGAAGGGAAGTTGAGAGAAGAGAAGAAGTTGAGAGAAGGGAAGTTGAGAGAAGGGAAGTTGAGAGAAGGGAAGTTGAGAGAAGAGAAAAGTTGAGAGAAGGGAAGTTGAGAGAAACGTTGAGAGAAGAGAAGTTTCGAGAAGGGAAGTTGAGAGAAGAGAAGAAGTTGAGAGAAGGGGAAGTTGAGAGAAGGGAAGTTGAGAGAAGGGAAGTTGAGAGAAGAGAAAAGTTTGAGAGAAGAGAAGTTGAGAGAAGAAGTTGAGAGAAGGGAAGTTGAGAGAAGAGAAGTTGAGAAAAGGGAAGTTGAGAGAAGGGAAGTTGAGAGAAGAGAAACGTTGAGAGAAGAGAAGTTGAGAGAAGGGAAGTTGAGAGAAGAGAAGAAGTTGAGAGAAGGGAAGTTGAGAGAAGGGAAGTTGAGAGAAGGGAAGTTGAGAGAAGGGAAGTTGAGAGAAGAGAAAAGTTGAGAGAAGAGAAGTTGAGAGAAGAAGTTGAGAGAAGGGAAGTTGAGAGAAGAGAAAAGTTGAGAGAAGAGAAGTTGAGAGAAGAAGTTGAGAGAAGGGAAGTTGAGAGAAGAAGTTGAGAGAAGGGAAGTTGAGAGAAGGGAAGTTGAGAGAAGAGAAGTTGAGAGAAGAGAAGTTGAGAGAAGAGAAGTTGAGAAAAGGGAAGTTGAGAGAAGGGAAGTTGAGAGAAGAGAAACGTTGAGAGAAGAGAAGTTGAGAGAAGGGAAGTTGAGAGAAGAGAAGAAGTTGAGAGAAGGGAAGTTGAGAGAAGGGAAGTTGAGAGAAGAGAAAAGTTGAGAGAAGAGAAGTTGAGAGAAGAAGTTGAGAGAAGGGAAGTTGAGAGAAGAAGTTGAGAGAAGGGAAGTTGAGAGAAGGGAAGTTGAGAGAAGAGAAGTTGAGAGAAGAGAAGTTGAGAGAAGAGAAGTTGAGAGAAGAGAAGTTGAGAGAAGGGAAGTTGAGAGAAGGGAAGTTGAGAGAAGGGAAGTTGAGAGAAGGGAAGTTGAGAGAAGCGAAGTTGAGAGAAGCGAAGTTGAGAGAAGCGAAGTTGAGAGAAGAGAAGTTGAGAGAAGAGATTAGAAAAGAGAAAGCTTCGGCTACCAGTTTGGGTTTGAGTTGGTCCTCAGAGTCTCCATGCCCCAGGCGTCCGTAGCGTCCCTTGCCCCAGGTGTAGAGCTCTCCGCTGGCCGTGATGCAGGCACTGTGGGCCCCTCCGGCAGCTACATCCACCACCTCCACCCCCCGAAGGGATTCTATCACACGGGGCCGGTCACACGGGCTAGAAGAGGGGGAGGAGAGGTCACCACTAGCATCACAGTACAGTGTTTGTATTTCACTTTACTACAAGCTGAACAATGTTGCTCTTGCTAATTATATGGATGTTGAGAAGTGTAGCCAACTGCCAGCGCAATTAACATGGGGCCCTGCATACTGTGAGAATAAGGCCTGCATTGTCAGTGACATCAGCCACACCACTGTCTGTACTGTGTGTGTGTGTATATATGGTTGGGCGATGTCAACCTTTATCCTATCGTGATTATGTACTCATAAATCATTGTGATATACGATGGTAAAATATATATACAGTACTAGTCAAAAGTTTGGACACACCTACTCATTCAAGGGTTTTTCTTTATTTTTTACTATTTTTTACATTGTAGAATAATAGTGAAGACATCAAAACTATGAAATAACACATATGGAATCATATATTAACAAAAAAAGTGTTTAAAAAAAATCTAAATATATTTGAGATTTTTCCAAAGTAACCACCCATTGCCTTGAGTGTGCAAAGCTGTCATCAAGGCAAAGGGTGGTTACTTTTAAGAATCTCAAATATAAAATATATTTTGATTTGTTTAACACTTTTTTGGTTAATACATGATTCCATATGTGTTATTTCATAGTTTTGATGTCTTCACTATTATTCTACAATGTAGAAAATCGTAAAAATAAAGAAAAACCCTTGAATGAGTAGGTGTGTCCAAACTTCTGACTGGTACTGTATATTATTTTGTTTTGAAAAAGGTATTCAATAAACTCAGCTAAAACGACAGTTGGGCTATAGCGCGAAATCGAATGCAACTGGACGAATCATGAGGAAAGATAATGTTGTTGAAAGCCTGGGCAGAGGATAAGTTCAGGCAATGGAAGATGTTTTCAAATATTCCTTTCTGGAGGAGGAGCTTAAAACGGTGACTGTCTGATGAGGAACGGGCTGTCTGATGAGGAACGGGCTGTCTGATGAGGAACGGGCTGTCTGATGAGGAACGGGCTGTCTGATGAGGAACGGGCTGTCTGATGAGGAACGGGCTGTCTTAGGATAGAAGGATAGAAGGATAGAAGCAGTCTATAATCTTCACAACTGGATAATAATTGCTTTATTTGCCTAATAAAATAATAAGACAAATAAATATTGTTTTTTCTATCTAACATAAAGCTGTGATTGAGAATAGCCTATGGCTATAGTATATATAGTGAATATAGTGTATATAGTGTGTATAGTATATATAGTGTATATAGTGTATGTAGTGTGTATAGTATATATAGTGTGTATAGTATATATAGTGTGTATATAGTTAATATAGTGTGTACAGTGTATATAGTGTATATAGTGTATATAGTATATATAGTGTGTATAGTATATATAGTGTGTATAGTATATATAGTGTATATAGTGTATGTAGTGTGTATAGTATATATAGTGTGTATAGTATATATAGTGTGTATATAGTTAATATAGTGTGTACAGTGTATATAGTGTATATAATGTATATAGTATATATAGTGTGTATAGTATATATAGTGTGTATAGTATATATAGTGTGTATAGTATATATAGTGTATATAGTATATATAGTGTATATATAGTGTGTCTATAGTGTATACAGTGTGTATAGTGAATAGTACATATAGTGTGTATAGTATATAGTGTATATTGTGTATATAGTGTGTGTATATTGTGTATATTGTGTATATAGTGTGTGTATATTGTGTATATAGCCAGAGGAGATGGCTGCCGTTTCACGGCTCCTAACCAATTGTGCTATTGTGTGTGTTTTTTCACATTATTTGTAACTTATTTTGTACATAATGTTTCTGCCACCATCTCTTATGACCGGAAAGAGCTTCTGGATATCAGGACAGCGATTACTAACCTCATACTGGACGAAGATTTTTTCTTTAATGAGTCGGACGCAAAATATTTATTTCAGACACCCGACAAGGCCCAAATCCCCGTCATTCGCAGGAGAAAGAGACGGAGATATCGGGGACGTAGGTCGGGGTGCCTTGTAAGGATCCGACGGAAGGTGGGTAATCTGCCTCTACCATCAGTCCTATTAGCCAACGGACAATCATTGGATAACAAAATAGTCGAGCTACGATCACAAATATCCTACCAACAGGACATACATTTTTTAAATATCTTTTCACCGAGTCGTGGCTGAACGACGACATGGATAACATACAGCTGGCGGGTTATACACTGTATCGGCAGGATAGAACAACGCCTCCGGTAAGACAAGGGGGTGGCGGTCTGTGTATATTTATAAACAAAAGCTTGTGCACAAAATCTAATATTAAGGAAGTCTCAAGGTTTTGCTCACCTGAGGTAGAGTATCTCATGATAAGCTGTAGACCACACTATTTACCAAGAGAGTTTTCATCTATATTTTTCATAGCTGTCTATTTAACGCCACAAACCGATGCTGGCACTAAGACCCAATGAGCTGTATAAGGCCATACGCAAACAGGCGGCGCTCCTAGTGGCCGGGGACTTTAATGCAGGGAAACTTAAATCCGTTCTACCTCATTTCTACCAGCATGTTAAATGTGCAACTAGAGGGATAAAAACTCCAGACCACCTTTACTCCACACACAGAGACGCATACAAAGCTCTCCCTCGCCCTCCATTTGGCAAATATGACCATAACTCTATCCTCCTGATTCCTGCTTATAAGCAAAAACTGAAGCAGGAAGCACCAGTGATTCGGTTAATAAAAAAGTGGTCAGATGACGCAGATGCTAAGCTACAGGACTGTTTTGCTAGCACAGACTGGAACATGTTCCGGGATTCTTCAGACAGCATTGAGGAGTACACCACATCAGTCACTGGCTTCATCAATAAGTGCATCGATGATGTCGTCCCCACAGTGACCGTACGTACATACCCCAACCAGAAGCCATGGATTACAGGAAACATCCGCACTGAGCTAAAGGGTAGAGCTGCCGCTTTCAAGGAACGGGACTCTAACCCGGACGCTTATAAGAAATCCTGCTATGTCCTCCGACGAACCATCAAACAGGCAAAGAGTCAATACAGGACTAAGATTGAATCATACTACACCGGCTCTGACGCTCGTCGGATGTGGCAGGGCTTGCAAACTATTACAGACCACAAAGGGAAGCACAGCCGCGAGCTGCCCAGTCACACAAGCCTACCAGACGAGCTAAATCACCTTTATGCTCGCTTCGAGGCAAGCAACACTGAAGCATGCATGAGAGCATCAGCTGTTCCAGACGACTGTGTGAACACGCTCTCCGTAGCCGATGTGAGTAAAACCTTTAAACAGGTCAACATTCACAAGGCCGCAGGGCCAGACGGATTACCAGGACGTGTACTCCGAGGATACGCAAGTGTCTTCACTGACATTTTCAACCTCTCCCTGACTGAGTCTGTAATACCAACATGTACAGGGCCCCGTGTAGCTCAGTTGGTAGAGCATGGCGCTTGCAATGCCAGGGTTATGGGTTCAATTCCCACGGGGGGCCAGTATGAAAAAAAATATATATATTTTTTAAAAAATGTATGCACTCACTCTTGATAAGAGCTTCTGCTAAATGACTAAAATGTTTCAAGCAGGCCACCATAGTCCCCGTGCCCAAGGACACTAAGATAACCTGCCTAAATGACCACCGACCCGTAGCACTGACATCTGTAGCCATGAAGTGCTTTGAAAGGCTGGTCTTGGCTCACATCAACACCATTATCCCATAAACCCTAGACCCACTCCAATTTGCATACCGCCCCAACAGATCCACAGATAACAATAACAGTAACAACACATCTGCCACACTGATCCTCAACATGGGGGCCCCTCAGGGGTGCGTGCTCAGTCCCCTCCTGTACTCCCTGTTCACCCATGACTGCATGGCCAGGCACGACTACTGCATCTCGCTGTTGGCTGGGCTCCCTGCCTGTGCCATTAAACCCCTACAACTCATCCAGAATGCCGCAGCCCGTCTGGTGTTCAAACTTCCCAAGTTCTCTCACGTCACCCCGCTCCTCCGCACACTCCACTGGCTTCCAGTTGAAGCTCGCATCTGTTACAAGACCATGGTGCTTGCCTATGGAGCTGTGAGGGGAACGGCACCTCCGTACCTTCAGGCTCTGATCAGTCCCTACACCCAAACGAGGGCATTGCGTTCATCCACCTCTGGCCTGCTGGCTTCCCTTCCTCTGCGGAAGCATAGTTCCCGCTCAGCCCAGTCAAAACTGTTCGCTGCTCTGGCACCCCAATGGTGGAACAAGCTCCCTCACGACGCCAGGACAGCGGAGTCACTCACCACCTTCCGGAGACATTTGAAACCCCACCTCTTTAAGGAATACCTGGGATAGGATAAAGTAATCCTTCTACCCCTCCCTTACCCCAACCCACCCCCCACCCCCCCCATAAATAAATAAATAATAATAATAATTGTAAAGTGGTTGTCCCACTGGCTATAGGGTGAATGCACCAATTTGTAAGTCGCTCTGGATAAGAGCGTCTGCTAAAGGACGTAAATGTAAATGTAAATCATTAAGTTTGCCGACAACACAACAGTGGTAGGCCTGATCACAGAGAACGATGAGACAGCCTATAGGGAGGAGGTCAGAGACCTGGCCGTGTGGTGCCAGGATAACAACCTCTCCCTCAACGTGATCAAGACAAAGGAGCTGATTGTGGACTACAGGAAAAAGAAGAGCACGTCCCCATTCTCATCGACGGGCTGTAGTGGAGCAGGTTGAGAGCTTCAAGTTCCTTGGTGTCCACATCACCAACAAACTATCATGGTCCAAACACACCAAGACAATCGTGAAGAGGGCACGACAAAGCCTATTCCCTCTCAGGAGACTGAAAAGATTTGGCATGGGTCCTCAGATCCTCAAAAAGTTATACAGCTGCACCATCGAGAGCATCCTGACTGGTTGCATCACCGCCTGGTATGGCAACTGCTCGGCCTCCGACTGCAAGGCACTACAGAGGGTAGTGCGTACGGCCCAGTACATCACTGGG